AGAGTCTCAGCAGACAGATCAAAAGCCGCCGGGTCAACAACCATTAAACTCACCCGAGCTACCAATATTTCGACACATTACCGACGCCAGTTTGTGCTAATTTCGTATAACAAAAAAGGACACACGTATGCATCATTTGACATCCATCCATTTTTGGTCACAGACATTTCATATAGCCGGCACATGCCCAACGGTATGGATTTGCTTGGAGGATGCCGCGTGGAAGGTTATCCTTTAGCATAATACGAGCACACAGATTTCGGCAAGGTCTGCAGATACTGCGCCGAACATACCAACAATTCTTCTCTAATCGTATGGGTGACTGGCTTTGCGCACAACCTGGGATGGTCCAAATTTCAATGTGAAATAGCCATATGGCGAATACAAATGGGTGCGTGAATAACCAGAAACACCAATCAGGCATACTGGAGCACGCCATACAGTGAGTATCCTGGCAGTTCGAGGGGCTCATAGAAGTGAGATGCATCCCCCATATAAATCAGGGCGGCGAAAAATCTGGAAGACAATGGCTACGTTCTGAATGTGACAATGACTGACAACGTAGGCATGTTCAGTCGTGTGGGATATTTGAATCCACGACTCTTAAGGCTGCGTTATCATCGTGTTGGAATAAGCAACGTGATGTCAATTTACCTTAACTGGATTATGGTTGGTAATGCAAATCCCCACGTGCTCTCAGATCTTTGACGCATGTGCCGGAGGATGAACGAGTCTCTTGAGCTACATGATGTGGACTCCACGAATTCATTCGTTCATTGTATTTAGAGGGTAGTCGATTTCAAGCAGAGAGAACTGTTCTTCAGAGATTTTTTCTTAGGTTCAGTTTCAACGGTGGTTGTCGGATTAAAGCCAACCGGAACAGTGTATATTCCTTACATTTCTTCCCAAGTCAACGCCGTCGGCTCCCGACGGTCCGCGCGAACGACCGAACCGAGTGGTAAATAAGTTAAAGGGCCTGAAAACAAGAATGGGCAGATACCATCATTGCGCAGGTGATTTTTTGGGAACAAGTCCTGCGCAAGTACCAAAATCTTTCAATGACAGCGCGCCGCCGGAGGTCGAGGATATTGCAGTTCACTCCAGATGTTCACCTAGGAACACCAATTAAAGTTTTTGTGTGCTCCGTGACCGGCACACAGGTAGCAGCAACCGCTGGTGTTCAGCGGATCGCGCATCATAGCACCGCATCTGTCCGCTGTACAGTGATGCTCTCCAGTCTTGCCTTAAACGTGAGCCCCCAAATGAATACGTTGTTTTTGGGTCTTAGCCACCGGTTCGTCCATAAATCACGAAGGTTTACTTGCTAATCTGTTCAAAAAAAGGCGCTTTATGATGCTGACCTGGATCAAAGCGTGGAATCCCTGCACACTGTCTGTCTGTAAAGTCAACAAACGAGCTAATTGATAGCCGTGAGTAAATGCTTGCTACAACGACCANACACGGAAGAGCGCGAGCTAGAGGAAGAAGACGGCGGTGATTTCATATGACCCACATAGGGCCAACAGCTCCAGGGTGTTCGTCTGGTTGTGAGACCTCATGCGTAGCATGTATGCCTGGCATTTCTTTGGGGTTATAATTTGCAGTCACCGGGCGACAAGAAATTACGCAATGCAAACCAGCCGTTGAAGATGACGTTGTGTAAACAAACCTCTAAGAGACTGTGGACGCCCAAGTGGGTAAATATTGCTCCAAAATTGTCGACCGAATCACTCATTGTGATTTTCCGATAACGGTTTCCTGCTCGCACTTCAGGACGTCAACAGCTCAACGACCTCTGCGCACCGAGAACCTCATGCGCTTCCCGGTTTGTCGTATAAAATAATCTAAATGACTAACAAAACTCAACTTTTCATGTCGTACGATTTGGAACTTCGACTCTATCCCGGTGAAAATGGATGGGTGTTAGGTTTGTTCAGCTGTCCACCATGATTGATTTAGGCCTTCTGTGGCTAGTTGATTAGGCATATTGGACCCCTGGCCGAATGTTATCGGTATGCGTCAGTTAGATTGGTTCAGCCTTAGTTGGTGACATGGTCGCCTTGGCATGTGTTTCAAGTTAGAATAGAGCACTCTACTGTATGAAAACAGTCCTGCACAGGTTACCAACACCTACACGCATTATATTCTTCAAATCTGATACGAATAATCCTTTAAATACTGAAGGCGGTTTCCGCGCTGTCAGCTCGGGGTGGAGATTATCGGGGTAGTTGTTCGACCGATCAAACGGATATAAATAGCAAAATTATTTACAGGAGTGACAACTCCACATAATTTACATTCACAAGGTTCCTGTAGTTTCCGGAAATTTCAACGAATTATTTCAGCTGCAGGACTCTTAGCAGATTACGTCTGTTGTAAGCGATATCCTGTTGCACTATATATATATATATATCCTATACTTGAAACAAAACGCCCATGTAGATAATCCTCAGAATAATTCACAACACATAGTTATCCTATAATATTAAGTAATGACCCTAAAAAGGTCACGGCCTTCAATAAATCAATTACTCTGTACCTAGCCTCCATCCTGTGTATCAATCCTCAAATACTGAGCGGCACTATTTCAAGTTGAAGAAACCAACTGTAGGCTTGGCATAATCGAAGATTGCGGCAGTGATGGTGAACATTGAGTGGGGGCATGCGATTGACAATCGGAACTACGGGGCCTTTGAAGTTAAAAGTTTTACGGGCAAGTAGCTTTATCCGGCTGCATGCCGTAATCATATTTTGTTCGTTGCACTTTGTTTAAGCGAGCGACCTTTCAAGGTCAACTATCACCGGGGCTTCGCATGTGATTAGCGGTATAAAATGTGATATTAAGTCCTAGCAAATTCTAACGTGCCACGGTGTTGTCCAAATGAGACGTATCATCTGCAGGATGTAGCGTGTAAATTTCATTCAGAAGAATTGTCGAATGACATTTGTGGGCGTTATATTCGTCAGGGTCAGAAGTGATCCTGATCCCCAGATATACACAACTATTCAGGGGATGACGCAGTGTTTCTAATGTCTGCATGATACTTACTAGTATCCCGATGCAGTAGCTTTCCAATTCTGGATCAACGGTGAAAAACCTGTTGGCCAAACCTTGTTCAAACAGGGCGTAATTAAAAACTAGTTCTAAGCGGAGGCGACTATATCCAGAGGTAAGGGGTCAAGCACCACCAGGCGCGTTTCATAATCCAAGGATTTAAGACCGCTGGATACGCTCAATGAGGGTTGCGTCCGTTTTGCGTCCTGAGTAGATAACTTAGTTTGCATGTTCAAGAAGCGGTCTGACGTATGCTCCTTGGAGATTTGGGGGTTCCATGTGAGTAATACGGAAGGTGTGCCGTGGAACAGCGAATTCGTTTTGGGCCGATTTCTCATGATGTAGTGAGAAGGACAAGTTAGAAGAGAGCCAAGTTCCCGAATAAATTTGACATCTATCCTCATGATGTTTTCTGGTCTTTATAACCGTGCATGACAAAGGCATTCGCTGAGTCCCCTCTAAATGACCTATGGACGCACTTTTCGTCATTCAGAGGAATGTGCCAGTCCAGCGACCACTGCTTTACAGCGACTAAATCGATTTGGAGGGCAGTGACAGTGAAACTTCAGGATTTCAAGTCACGGTGAGTGATTTGGTAATACTTTAGTTGGGTGACTGGATCCCTTGAAGTTGATTTACTGGTGGTCGGGGGAAGCTGTCTGATTGCAGTTTTACATATGATGATTTTTGCACCAATAATTTGCTCTGGTTCGGTTATTGAGTGAATTGACTTTCTCACACGAGCTTAGCGACGTTGCACTTTGCGCTAAATAGAAATAATCGGTTTGGCGTCCAAAAAATAGTCATTTGAATGGCTAGATATCTCTTATTGATTCCGATGACAGAAGTTCCGGAGGCCTCCTCAGTCATTGCGGCATGAGTCGTTTAATGGATGAGGTCAAACGACCGCGGGCACCTGCGCTAGGCCACCTGAATGGACTGTCATATCCGCGTTCCAGTGTTCGCGCATTACTCTATTCTTAGTTCGAGGTCTGCATCAAGATCTCGTTCTTTGTGTCATTGGAGTCAAACCAGTCGACGTAGACTTGACGAGGATAGCCACGTCTGAAAAAACAGAACGGAGTGTGCATAGACGAACTGGCATTCAGAGAATGCGAAACTCTTATATAAACTACCCGAAACTTCATTTGGGTAAACAAAAAATCACATTTCTTCATTGCACGGGCAAGCCTGACGCAGAGCACCAAAACAACCGATTTTGGGGGCAGCTGTGCCACCAGAGACCGTCACTTTTCGACAAATTTGCGAGAAATAATTGTCATCAAACGGAGCGTTTATGGGGTTGTCTGTGGATACCCGGGAACAAATGACCCACGGACGTCTTTTGATCAGAAATATCACTCACTCCAAACGCGACTGTCCGCTACACCTGACTGTCGGGTTTGTAACAAAATGCCTTGGCAGGGAATGGCGGAGCGTACTCTCCCAAGAAAACCGGTGCATTCTAAAGATATCCACCAATGTGTTAGATGTCACTAATTGTCCACTCCAGCTCCTAAAGTGAATTACACCCGTGACTTAGATGCTTTTATTGTCCAAAATTGTTAGGACCTGCAATTATGGATCGAAAGTCAGCAGTCATATTTCGGGGCTCCTTTGGGTTGGTGTTAGCATACACAGGGGCGAGACGGCCCAAGTGGTAAGGACGCGAATTTACTGACCGGAAGGTACGTGGTTCGAATCCCACCTCCGCCTCTCGACTTCCCCTGTCTAGGCTTGGGCGACTCGGCAGTATCCCAGTCCTCGTGCTTCCTTCGGGTGGCATGGCAGCTAGGCACCGGAAGAGTGCTACAGCTGAACGGTTAGCATGCACAAGTTGCACCTTGAAATACCACTCAGATAACAGGATCAGTATCAGCCGTGATAGATGAGGATAAATGGCCTAGCAACTTAGCCATGCGATCTTCCGTCATTGACTTATAGTTTACAAACTAAGGTTGGAAGGAATTTTAATTGCTGACGAAGGTAAAACTTCCCTCAAGAGTTCAACCGTTATTAATAAATCCCTGAACGCCCACTGGCTACTGCGATACTCAGAGAATGATGAAATGCGTTTCTTCTCATTATACTTCCTGACAAAAGCACCCAAGTCGAGGGTAGGGCCGAAGATTTGTGTTATGCAGCAGCGTATCGTTAACCTGATGGCTGTGACAGACTGCCAGCGGCAGTCGAACTGCAGTAAGGAAATGCTTTCAGTCGGTTTGGGCGCTGTGCATGATGACTAACGGATCTACCGTAAATGCAACGAAGCAGCCGAATTCAATTGACTCGAACTAATAGCACCATTTCACAGTCGAAGTTGTAGTAATGAGTTCCAAGCGTAGGAGGGAGTCAGGCTTAATAGGCGCGATGGGCTTCCCTCCGTGCAAGAAAGTATATTTGATCACGAAGCGCAAATCGGGCGAATTAACGAAATACGACAGCCCACAACACACGTATGAGAAAACCTCCCGAAGTGATTTCCGGCATAAGACAATACAGGAACAGGGGGTTTCGCAGGATAGATAGACTCTAGTCCCTCATGCCACAAAATCACAACAATGAGCAAGTGATAGCGCAATACGGCTCTTGGTGCGCACCCGGTTTCAATACCAGATACGATTAAGACGGACTTTGCCCGAAGCAGACTGTTTAAAATGATATGATACTCCTAAAGAAGTTGAACAAAACTTGCGATCGTTCACAAACAGTCCATAGAATACTTCCCAGAAAAAACGTTTCACTGTAGCTCCCTTTCGGTGGCTAGCTTCCGTACCACACAAATGAAGCGCGAGGGCTAGAATGCTGCCAGGCTGCCCAGGCATTGACAGGGGAAGTTGAGATACAGAGGTCGAGTTCGAACCACGGACCTTCTGGTCAAGGAATTCGCGCTATAATTACTGAGTCAAATTACGGTCACCACATTTGGAAATTATGCGGGTGATCGTAGCTTAAAATTTTGCCCGCCTTATCGGGCCAAAGAACATCCGGCTGCGGTATACGACTCGATTAGCTCACCAAAACGCGGCTTGATTACCCGGTGGAATTCAGGTACATCACCTTTAACAGGCATTTCAAAGCTTACTCACTTACCTTGTGGCCGTAGTTATGGATACGTAGGCTGGTGTATACTACACATTCAGCTGTCCCATAGAGGAATCAGAAACATGAGTTCAACGAATGCACACGTAATAGTGAAACAGCCTAATGCAGCTAACCTCGCGATATTCCTATTAACACCAGTGTGTATGATATAACGCACCTTGTAGATGTTTATGTAAGGAGAGGGGAATACCGATAGTCATCATCTCTGGTGCAGAGGCGACGAAGTTAACGAGTCTGTCACCCGATTTGACCTTCCCTGTTTTAAGTCCCCAACCCCGCTGTGGTTACCCTATTGCCTCATTTGGATGGCAACAACACTTCTTACGACCAACGCTGAGCCCTCGATGGACCGAAAAATATCTTCTATGCTGATCTCGTTCCATCACAATTCCATGGCCATTCTCCCTACACTATGAGCTCCGACTGATCCATCCAAAACATCCACTAACGGGGCCACACATGAACCGCATTACGATGTTACGATGGTGGCACCGCGACTACCATAAATTTGGTGGTTGGTCTGTTCGCCGAGGTTGGCAGTTGGATTGCAAACGTTTCATCACAAATCGAGGTGACATCGTCAGTGCAGGGTTGAGTGGGCCACTCAACCCTGAAGTTGGATTCGAACCATGGACCGTAATTCGGAACCTTAACCACTGAACTATCTCGAACTCCCAAGGCTTGAGCTTATACACCAGCAGCTCAGAGTCATCCCGCTTTTCCAACAGTTATCACTTTCGGTTCAAAACTGTCATGCTTTATCTTTAACACGCCTTAATGATGCCATTTCCATCATAACAGTGCCAGCTTTCCCTCTGTCACAACTTCCTCCATGCTAATTCTACGCCACTTGTGTTTCATATCGATGATGTCTCCCGTGACTAGATCGTACCAATTTTGACTAAACTCTGTGTAAGTTGGACCACGCCTCTTGTTAAATAATTTCCCCACTTCCATGCATTTGTGGGAACCCACAAATGGCACCTGTTTCACCTTTATTCCGACTGTCCCATTAAGAACATGCCCGGAGGTATGCCCTTCGCCAGTTGGGAATATACACTATTATTGTTGACAACTAGAATGAATGGAACCTTGTCTTCTTGCAAACTCAGGAAGGTTTTCCACAGGACGTTGAGTAGAACCCGGGTATTGGTTGAGGAAGTGCGGTTCCTTTCAGATAAGGCATTGCACGTAGATGGACTGGTTAGGTTAGTGTGTTCAGTACCTCTCTGTATTGCACACAATGAACAATGTAACTGCAAAGCGGACGCTCAATTGCCTCAAGGTCGGTCCGGTTGGCTTTTGTCCACTAATCACGTTAAGGCCAACTGGCCTCATTCGGTGCCGCAAACCTGTGCTCTACCCTTGACGAACTCCACTGGATCATGAAAGATGGCTTCCCTCCCATGTTGTACCGTTTCAGCGGCGGTCTATTCCCATTCGAACCTCACATGTAAACGCAGCTTGGAGATAATGGCACCAATAGTAGTTTGTGCATTCAGACTTGATTAACGTCGCATTTGCATGAGTCTTCTATAGGTGGTTGAGGCACCTGATGATGGGCTTGCAAGAGGGGTACTCCGAAAAGGTAGTGGGGGTGGGAACGATCAACTATGAAAGCCTGCCCGGATCTCGCATGTAGGATCTTTGTTGCTTCTGAATAACCCCTCGAAGACCCTATATTCTAAAAGCGCTGCTGAATCAAGTTAGACACTTGTGGTTATCCTCCGACGCTTCTGATGCGCGCATTCACAGTGAGAATTTGCCATCAGAAAGCACTTAGTCGATCTCGTCATGGTGAACAGAGTCGCCTTACGATCATCTGTTACACTGTCAGCAAGGAGAAACATTAGCATAGCTGACATGGAAAGAAAGTCGAACTGGGAAATGGAAATACTTTTACTTTATAGGACAGGTGATTGTGTGAAGGAAGAAAGAACTGGACGGAGGTCTGCTTAGGTTTCTAAAAGTGATCAACGTTCAAGTCTCCCCGTTTGCCCGTGATAACCCATACAAACAAGCTGGAACGGCTTCTAAAGTCCGGAATTTAAATTACAGAGACAGCTACATACTGACGAAAACAGGGGTGGACCTAGGAGAACAGGTCATGTTCGGAAGTACGCACAACATACGGAAAGCTATTTCTAGGTAGGTGGAGCTACTCGGGTCATACGGCGCCATCCAAAACAAACAGGACACTCAAAACATGTGCTCATTTAAGTGCTGGATAAGGCCTAGCAATTTGAAGGTGGAACAAGACAGGGCAGGAATTCATTCCGATTAAGGCATTTGGACCACCAAAAGATTCGAACTTAAACAAGACAACGAACGCTCCGGGTTCAGGTTGCATCACTGAGTGTAGCTTTTGATCGGCAAATTCCTTCACGACAGTTTAACTTTAAAATCCAGTCGCTTGCTCAGTGGCACTGTAGGAAAGCCGTTTTCGGCAGGAAGTAGAGGCGGCCTTCGGTATTGACCGTTGGTTATTAGTAAGTTGGTGGTAAATTTGCACTCTTTTTCGGTTTAAATAGTGCAACGTGAATAAATCCCACTCCTAAACAATCAATTGCACCCAGGTGTGTTGTGTCCTCGAGCACTGGGACTGGAAGGCCAGACACAACCTCAGAAATTATTAGGATGAAAGTTGTCTCATCTATACGAATAAGTTCAGTTACACCATTTGGAAGGAACTATCCGAACAGGCCTAGGAACGCGACATATCTTGAAGTGCAACCCAAAGAACAAACGGAACCAAGTCTATCTTGGGGGAGGTGTCTTTTCGGGAGACCACGGGTGTAAATTACTGAATACGACTATCTTGGGGGAGGTGTATTTTCGGGAGACCACGGGTGTAAATTAACTGAATACGATTATGGCTAATGAGGGATTCTACCCATTCAAATGGTGGTGATTTTGTTTCGTTCTTTCCGTGAGAGTTGATCCTCTTTGGTGGTGTGTGACACCAAGCCCTGGAAGAATATATTCAACGATTTCGGTAGCCGTGGGCATTAACTCTATTGGAGAACCATGCTTTGCAGGAAACTCTTCCGGTGAAGTCCGAGTGTAGAACATTGTAGACACAACGACCGACCTCCTTGGAGCAAATTCTGGATAAGTGGCCAGTCAAGTTCTGCGCGGGAAAAGCACCACAAACCCATCATTTGTGAGTAGGATGGGGACGGGTAATGTAACACTACAGATAAATTGAGGCTAAATTCCTACAACCTGCAGTGGGGATAAAGTCAGTCGCGTCGCACAGGTCTGACTATTGAAATTTCATGTTTGAATGAAATTTGTAATCACTGCTAAACCTCTTATTAGGAAGCACCACGAGGAGTACCAGACTAAAAATAGAGATCGGAGCAATATGCACATCACATGAATGCATCATAATATAAAGAATTGGCAATGGACGATATCAACCCGAGAAAAAGATTCGGATTTTGAACACCATATATAAAATGAAGAGTATCTTTTCGGCACTCCTTCAAAAACGTACTTTTCAGTCGATGTGCGTTGTCCTGACTTACGCTATAGAGGCCTATCAAAGAGCTACTTATCACATATGATAACAAAAATGTTGAAAACGCCAAGAAAAGTGTATTCGTTCATCTAGACGGAGTAGACTAATCAGTAGGTTGCTGGACCAATAACAGTCAACTGTTCGTACGGTCATTGAGAAATCACTTTGAAAAGGCAACCCCACGACGACTTCTTGGGTTCTCCAATTAAGCAATACCACCATCATGCAATGGAACAAGCGCGAAACCATAGGCAGATTGTCGAGTGGTTTTCAGTAACCTTATGCGAAGTATGCTGTGCGAAGAAAATATACTGAGATATCTTGAATATCCTGCCCAGACGAAACAAGAAGCGACGTTTTGGTGGCACAATCAGTTGTATAATGTTATAAACGAGGAATTCATTTGAATTTCAGTTTAACACGCATGTAATCTGCAAACTTCTATATTTCTTCAAAGAATTACCTAACAGTCACAGTGGAATCACAGAAGGCTTTGTTCACCCAAATGGGTGGGTGTTTAACAATGAAATCACAATTTAATCAAGTGTCTTCAAAAAATGTCAGTGAAGAGCTCGACAATGTTTGGCTGAAAGGTGTTTTCGAGCTATTCGATTAAAAAATTCATTTGAGTGTTGCGCCGGTGTTTGACAAGAACGGGGAACAAAGAATATTGTGCACCGTGTCAAAATTAGTCTTCGGATACATGAAACGGGGTGTATATCAAAGAAATGGCAAGCAATTCAGTGGCATCTGGTGGCCTTAGATCCACGAAGCTCATAATTCATGGGGTTGTTTAGATAGTTTCCATGTGGGTCATCTGTGGAATGAAAAAATCAACAATCACAGGGTAGAAGGGCTTCGAGACATGAAAGTTGTCCAAGCCAGGCTAGAGGAAAAAAGGTAATGTTTGAAACAGTGATACGACCAAGGCGGTGGCCATCGGTTTCTGAACTAGACCGCAGAGACCGCTCTGACTGATTGGACACAAAGGAGTCGGTTGCGTACGACAGGAGTCAGTACGCCGAGTGAATCAGGAAAACCGCACTCAATAAACTGATTATACCAAATATAGACGTCGGTCAACCTTAGTTTGGATTGAAACAAGCGGTGATTATTATGTCCACCAACAGATCGCCTTTATACGGTAAACTCAAATAGATTGGCTTCTTTCCAACGGTCTTTTTTCAACACCTGAAACCTGCCGGTACCACAATGCCGTGACTGTACGGTCTGCCTATGGTTCATATGAATATGTGTAGTTCCCCATATCACGCAACCATAGTCAATCGCCGCTTGTTTCAATCCCTACAACGCACGTTTCCGGCTGGAACTCTGCGGTCTTGGCTTACAACCAACCCTTCGCCCAACTTAAACCTCAAAGACAAGATGCCAGTCCTCACCCAGAATATGGTTGTGTATTTTTTCTCCTGCTGTTGTTTAGCAGAGTATATTTGGCGCACGACACAGCAACTTCCTAAGGGAATACGCAAGCACCTCACTCACCAGAACACCATTAGCCACAACAATTCAGCCAGAAGCTCAATGGCGTCGCAACCAATTGACACCGGGCCCATAGTCATTCCAAATGAGGCATTTCACGTCATTTACAGTGTACTAAATAGACTGCCAGTATCTATCCAACAGCGTTGCTTGACTACAACCGAGAAAGTCGCTATACGCCTGCGAAATCCGGTACTGTGCTGTCAAAAACGTTTCGTACGAACGCTGAGTCTGCCTTGGTCGTGTGACAGGAATCAACCGGTCGTCACCCAATGGCCCTCTAGACTGTCTCACAGCATCCAACTAACTAGATGCGACATGTAGTGCGCAGACAACCCATCGTTCGTGTCTTCACGTTTTGTATTTCACTAACCAATCTTCGCTGCATACTTCATTTTTCGCTCCTATTTTAACCATTAGATATGTACTAATCTGATGATGAGATCCAGAAAACATTAATGTTCGTCACTGTGTTCTTTTTCAAAGATTTATATGCCAATGAAGACTCCTGTATTCTTAACACAATATCGGTCTACATGTCAACATAAATGTACAGGGGATTATAGACCGAACCGAGTTCTCGGGACGCCTGTCCGGATGATTTATCAGCTGACTGCAGTGAGATGGATGGTGTGACACCTTGGCTACAATGCCGCCTGGGGACTCTAACTGAGTAACTCACTCATTAGATCAGTTGAGATATCCAATTGTGTGAGGAGAACCAACAAGCCAGTAGATTCGTAGAGTGAGGAGACAGCTTACATGTCCACAAGAAGGCATGGTTCTCACATCACCGGTGTAGCTGATGGCAAAAGAAACAGATAACAGATGGCTCTACGCCAAACAAGGACAAACTGCCCTATGCAACTGGATTTTGTGGAAAGTGATTTCCTACGAAACATCGGAACAGATATTGGCTTACAATTTAGGCATCATTAAAACTTGCATCATTAATGACACCTAGGATAAGCGATCCTAAGGCTGCCGCATTTGGCGTCCTTGATGTGGAAATTCGCCTGGATGACCTGCTGGGTCGCATTACTGTGAACAGCGCGCAATGAGTTACGAGAGTGGTTTGGAACATAAAGTTAGTCGACAGCGAGCATATCGATGAGTGTTGCTTACGTCCCAACGAACTGCAGTAGGAATAGCGAAAAAGACAAATTCTATCGCAAACTTTAGACACTGCTACACTGAAATGAACGCTCAGTCGTGGCGACGAATGATACTTCCCAGTTCTCCATGTCGAAAAGGGTCTTTAGCTGAGGTACCCTACACTAAGCCCTTGACGCAAACGTCTGACCCAGAAGGTTGTGTTCTGGGACCCTTTCCTTAGCGGCCGACCCAAAACTCCACTCTGGGAGGCTTCCTTTAGGAAATCTTCCAGAAACCAGCAACTCAATGATCTGACCCACTAAGCTACAGCCCTGCAAGGCCTGAAAGCGCAAAGGATAAGACCCAGTTGCTTGAATCCCGATGGTACTTCGCATAGATGAACCCGGAGTCGTATCCGGCTCGTGGTAGGTTTCAACTGTATTTCGACCGAATAGGATAATCCGCCCGACAGAAACACCTTAGTGCCTTCACACTCGCTCCATACCGCCTCGTGTGAAAGTTATTTGTATTATAGGAACTGCACTCGTCTTGTTGCACCGTTCTGACCCTCCTGGTACGGTTAAACTACGTGGACTGGAGTTCCAGAAGGCTTAGCTCACTGGATTATAGTGGCGCTCAAGCTTGACCACCACGCAGTTAACATATTTTCGCCGGCTGGGGCACCCAACTGTTAGTTGTGAACCCTTGCAGATATAATTAAATCACGAAACAAGCGGTACTATCGTTTCCATTCGATCACCTTCATTCCTCAATTCGNGCTCTTCCGGGCACAAGTGTCGTCCTTCTTGGTCAGTTGTTGACTCGAACCAACATACTCATTTACATGAAAAACGAGCGAACAGGGCTAATTGGCGACCATTTTGCATGCATCAGATATAAGAAAGGCGCAGAATTATGAAGGAACTCATAATGTTGAAAAAACGTCTTTCAGCTGTAGCACGCTTTCGGTGCCTAAATGCTATGCCACCTGAAGGAAGCACGAGGGCTGGGATAAAGCCAGGTTGCCTAAGCCTAGACAGGGGAAGTTGAGAGGCAGGGGTCAGGTTTAAACCACGGATCTTCCAGTCAGTAAATTCGCGCCCAAACCACTGAGCCACCTCGCTCCAATGTTGAAATGAAATACGGAAACAGAGCAACTCACGAATGCGTCGGATTATTGGAAGAAAGCGGAAAATAGGACAGCCAGGTAGATTTTCCCTGGAACGGTGATTGGAGTGAGCATCTTACGCAATACAAAGCTCTCCGCCCCGCTGATGAGAAGACGTTGTGGATCTGTTCGGTGCTTGATGTACGCTGGGACCCGTTGCAGTTTGTGAGAAGACCAAGCCATACCACTGTGGAGAAGAGAGAAACAACCGTTTTAGTCCGGTGCGCAGAACTAACAGCTAAATAACATCCCACGTTCGTATTAGATTGTTGCCATGATTTGGTTACGAATGCTGAGAGCTGCTTGACGACATATTCCAAGGTAAAACACAGCAAGACTGGAGGGGTTTGTGAATTTTACTGTTCCCTGTGTGAACATGTTGGATGTTCAGATTGTAAAGGTGCGCTGAGAGCCATAGGAGGGAGGAAGTTGCAGAGCAACCGAGGTTGGACGAAACATTTAAAAGAGAAAAGTTCATCGATAAACCAACCCAAAAAATAGAGGGTAATATGCTAACAATGAGGCCATTGCAGCAAAGCTACAACCTACTACAAACAAGTAGTGCCCTTTCACCAAATGCTTTCTGCATGACTTCCAGAACGAAATTTATGAGACGATTTTTTTCTAGTCTGACTTGAAACTGGTTTATTTCGCGCTTGTTGCTGGAACGGTTAACTAACACTCATAGTATCGTCTACACGGTGGTGTCAAATGCGAACTGCGTTCGTTTCGTTGATTGATACATATGCTTGACCGGAGGATCCCCAGAAGTCAGCTGTGGTTATCTTTTTGAAATGATTTTTGATTTCACCAGAGGGAGAACTGAACCTCGTTTTTCAGCAACTCCATGACTAGTGCACTCGGCCAAGGGAATGTAACTGTGATGGCTCAAATTCCGATGAAACATGAGGCCGTCTGTGTGCAACACAGCCCGTTCAAAAAATACCATAAGCGAGATATTCAACAAAGGTTCTCTTTAAAATCCAGATAATTTGCTAACGGGAGTGTTTCACCTATTGTATGTTATACTTGACAATTAACAACCACCGTCAACAACTCAAAACGCAAAAACACACCAATGTAGTCACTCGGTCGGGTTTACCTAGTATTCTCTTGAAGCGACGACATCATATGAACGAAAATAGCAGATTTGTTGTACGATTCCCTGTTCCTTAATTCCCAACGTATGAGTCGTACGAGGTATCGTAGTAATAACAACCCTGGCTGTTGTGCTTGGCATTTTCGCACCGGAAAGCTCGCTGGCCTTTGCCCGCCATCGACACTGCAGCTCACATTTGTGGCTGCAAGTAGCTGTTTGGATGGCACAACATCCCAACAGTCCAACTAAACGGGAAGTCCGGTGGTGGGCACGCGTGGGCAGCCCCGGCGGATTAAGTGGGTGAGATCAGTGTGCGGGTCCGATTGCTATTGTGGTGGGTCTTTTTGAGGGCTCAGTTTTCTGCTACTTTGCATGTCGTGCTTGCTTGTTTGTTTCACTCGTTTGTTGTTTCATTGCAGTCACTGGCGGTGGTGATGCAGGCGTGCGTCCAAATGACCAATCTACCTATGATAAACTTGAAAGTCTATCCAGGACAGTGCTTCGATCGATTGCTATTGTGGTGGGTCTTTTTGAGGTCTCAGTTTTCTGCTACTTTGCATGTCGCGCTTGCTTGTTTGTTTCACTCGTTTGCTGTTTCATTGCAGTCACTGGCGGTGGTGACGCAGGCGTGCGTCCAAATGACCAACCTACCAATGATAAACTTGAAAGTCTATCCAGGATAGTGCTTCGACTGTCTAGGTAAGTCTGCATACTTCAGTCACTCCTTCAACGCTCATTTTCAGCATCCCAGAAATTACCTGTAGAGGTGCTGTTCGGGCCACGGGTACAGTAAAGATCAACTGCTTCCACCAAAAGCATTGGCTTTGGAGTGTGTGGGAAACAATAAAAGTAGTTCTTTGCGCCCCGTGAAGTGCCACTAAAAGATCTGCTACCAGATTACATCTGCTGAGGGAATCTTACACACTCCTTCTCGGTATGAATATGCTCTCGAACAAAAGCCATGCGACAGTGAGAACGTAACTCACCAAGTCCCCTAGGAAACTCCAGGTTCATTTCTCACGACTGTTACACTCCTAATATTCATAGTTCCGATAGGGAATGCGCCTATGGCTGTGCAAGCCACTGGACTGACCATAACACATAGGCTGGACCCGTGCCCACTGGAGTGTTCGATTACTGCTGGGCGTCGGCAGGCAAACGTATTGCCAGCGCTGCGCGATCAATGTCTGGTCCTCGGAGGTTGGAATATCTTCGCATGGACCAAAACCATCATAATCTGTAGCACTACTCCCGTGATAGATTTCCTACAATAAACAAGGAAATGACTCTAACTAACATATAGTCGCACATAGCCTGAGCCTAGCATCATCTCACGGACTCCTGTACTTTAAAAGGTCGTTTATCAACATATCAAGCACCTTGGTGTAAATCCCAGGCGCTGCTGATCGATTCTGACCCTAAACACAAATTTTGCAAAAGTATCCGAAAGAAATACCGTGGCTACAGCAAGTAATTAGGATATTCATACATACGGATAATCTTCGTATTCAAATAATCATCATCATCATCATCATCATCATCATCATGATTCAAAACATACTGACATCCAAAGAGAGGCGCGGGGAAGTGTGCTAAAGCAAATTTATAAGAGGTACGTGACACAAAAAACGGCAATTCTTGCTCGGAGTTACGTCTTTTGAGCCCTGATTGATTCCCAGATCGATCTGATCCCCAAATCATGCCTGCAGTGTCCTGCGAGAGAGCAACCGGCCGAACCTTGGTTTGAAATAAATTTCGACTAAGCAGGTCTATTAAGTGGTGAGCTACTCTTGATCGTGTTCGGTGCTCTTAGTGCCACAAGTGCCATCACAGTCCCAGAATTCAAACGAATTTGGAGGGGCTTCACCAAGTGTGTTGTGGAACAATCACATGTCATAGCAAGGACAGGCAACGTTTTCGAAAAAGTTTGGTGACAATCGGTAGATTTATGCTGGGCAAACGTTTCGCT